AGGAGAGTTTCTCATCCCCCACTCATTTTCCTGGCCCAAACGTCGTGGGTTGGAAGACCTGTCCGGAGAATTCACTAGCAGAGGGGTTATCACTGGCGATATTTGCCTCCAAAGCGCATACACATCTCCAACCTATTGCTAGAGGCGTAGCGCCTTGCTGGCAGATGGAAGGAGGTTATCACCATCCAGCAGTCGTATTAACCTCGTTATTTTCTGTTTTAGGCTTAAAGTTTGAAAGCCTCTTTTTTAATCTAAGTTAGTTAACAGCGCCTCCTCTTGGCTGAGTGCAAAACCACAGGTAAAATTCTCTAGTCTGCGTCACTCCCTAAATAAAAATTTTCTGATCTCCCACCTCCGATAAGTACCTACTAACTCTAGCGAACCCCTTAATGCTTCCTTCTTTACTTATACCATCAGTCTACTGGATAGAGGGCGACGTGATGATTTAGCCTTTCGTTCCCTATCTAAATTACCACTTTTAATCTTTTAACAAGGTAATCCCCTATTCATTAAAGGAAATTCAACTGAAAGAGTGCCTACACCAGTCTGGCCCCCTTCGCCACTCCTTTGAGCCTCCACCAGGCACCCGTCTTTTCACTCTCATCTTGTAGAGTGCCTGCTTACCTAGTTATGTGGGTTTAGATGGGGTGGGTGAAGAAATTTCTACTTCTTTCTCGGCATATTCCATGCACACACACATACAAACTAGACTGATCATGCTAATTAATTTGATTTCATTTACTTGAAGGACCACCATCACTCAGGTGCTTCGTCTTGACGATTTTTTGTCAATATTTTTTTCCACTTCTCACGTGTTATAGCATACCTCCACCTATTTTGCTGTGGGTCGACGAAATTTTGGGGTAATTTGTTTGTGGAGATACCAAATAGTCATGTATTCCACGAAGCGACAGTGTGGCAAGCGAAGTGAGTAAAAATGTATTGTTTTGACAAGTGATTTGGATCATGCATCACTTGAGGGTGACGTTAAAGACAGGTCCGATTTATGAATGCAGTGAATGACATTACACAAGAACGAGTCGTGAATTCGTTTATGTTTGCAGTGAACTGAGCTTGGGATAACTTGCCGCCTATTTGGGCATTTTTTACGAGTACTCCAGCTTTTATTTGATACCTGGAATGTGGCTTTGGACTGGAAGAGTTCATTTGCACAGCTTAACCGTCCTGGAATTGTCTGCACCACGTAACTCCTGCTAGTCATGGTATCCATCTAGCCGTTATGCTTCGACTAGCCATCCAGGATCGTGCAGAAACAACCTGGTCCTTGAGCCAGGGACTGCAACAGTTAGGCTCCTCCCAAACCGACGTACAATCACTCACCTTTGAGGGGTCCATTTAAATAGAAGGTCTATACAGCTGAAGCGCCGTGTCGTCTATGCTTCAGGTGTCCATACAATTTGCTTTGGCTCATACGCTGGCCTCTAGGTTGAAGTCAACTGATCCTTAGACGGCCTGTACGTCGGGTGTTAAAGGTCACGACTTTTGCCTTCTTTATCGTGTAGCGCAGCATCTGTGGCCTCCACCTTTAGGGCAAATCTAGAAGGTAGAACCAGAAGTCCCACTTTGATGTGTACGCTTATGAATTTGTCTAAAAGCAAAAGCCAACTGAACTGGCATTGATGGGTAAGTTTTGGAGGAAAAAGACCATGGATTCGATTTCTCTCACTTTAAAAACTAGCCATGAAATTAAGCAATGGAGAAAGCATCTGACATCGAGATTCAGGTCCGCTTCCAGCTTTCGGGGTTCTTGTGTTAGTATTTTTTCTACGTGGATAAACCTCTTGATTTAGGGGTTTTTGAGTCCTTTTTCGCTTTATTATTGTCCAAGATTTTGCTTCGAAAAAAGTGATCTTGTATAGCATTCTTTATCCTATTCAGTCAATTTTGCTCAGACGTAGTAGAATGAAGGATGGTAAAATCGAACAGTCAAAGGACCTCTTCTAGCTTGAAATTATCTTCCAACTGAAGTAAAGGGGAAAATATGCGGATCTCCTTCTTCTTAATCACTGCAAAAAGCAGTTTTTGAAAAAATTTGAATAAGAATAGACGATCAGTTCTAAGGGAGGCCCCGCGATCTAAAAAAACCTTCCCTAGAGTGGAGGCCTCGTTTGGATCCACCCTCTTTCACTAACTGTGTCACGGTTGCAATTATCACACCACTTTTGACAAAGACCTGCGTTTCAAATAAGCTACTCGCCAAATCTTGTTTTAAACGATCACTCTGAAGGGCAGAAAGACTACCAAGTGGCCCTCAATGGCCCCCTCTCCTGCCCACCCTTAATGCAGCACCCTTACGTAAGGCGATCTGCGCTTCTATGCGCTGTCAAACAGGAGTGAACGTGTAATTTTCCTGTGTCAAACGCATGATCGACCTGGATAAGTGCCTTAAAAAAATCCTCTCATTCTCCACTGTCTCACTTGAAATAATGTTTTGCATATGGAAAATGCCAAGTCTATTAGTCCCCTTGATGGGGGGAATGGAAAAAGCAAACGCCTCTTCGGCAACTGCTCCTCTTCTTGCGGCTTTTCTTGAAGAAGAGATGGAAGATGGAGGAAGGGAGCAAAGGACGGCCTAAATATCGTGGAGGTTAGTTTAGTCAACACCAAAAAAGTTGCAAAGCCTCCTACTAGGTAGCTCAAATGAGAGGCGGCAAAGCTCCGAGGGGTTGAGGAGACCAACTTTACAGTACGTAGGGGTAATGTTTTGAAATGTGACTTTATCCTTCGTAGGAAATCGTGATTTTTTCATCGAGCTTGTTTCAAGTGGTTCATTTTATGGCACAAGTAATCAAGTGGATGGAGGAGGGCACATGGCCCAAACACAGGAAACTTCCACTAGGTAGTTCTTTCCAATATGGTGCCACCAAAGCTAATTTTTTTGTGATTTAAGTAAACGTGAACTTCCTGCTCTAGAGCAACGCATAGATTTCTGTGACCTGTGATAGCCCGATGTCCAGGTGAGTGGCTGTAGGTTCCGCAGATCCACCCAAGAATGACTAATTCGAAAGGGAATTCCGCAAGCCCATTCAAGGTCACCTTGCTGATGGAAGAAGCCCAGGGTCCTTTAAACGCAGCTATGACTAGTATGTGCCACAGCGGGTCGCAAATGCTTCCATCTTAGGCCCGAGTGATGGATTTGACTCGTCTTCGACGCAGTTAGCATACTTAAATAAGTTACAAGCTGAAAGTTCTTCATCCCAATCAAAGCACGCAACTCTCTCTCCTCTCCAGCTCTGTTACACTCTCTTTCTTGCCTTTTTTCAATTTTTTATGTCATTGCATCTCATGATTGCCATGTGGAGGGGGACCTGGTTACCACCGGGACTGAGATGATTAAATCTAAGTGGAAGGCGGTTGGCACCCTAGCTTTTTCAGCCTACATTCCAGCTGCTAAAAGTAAGCTAAATGGAATACAACCAAATGCCTTTCGGGCAATTATGGCTGCAATGGGAAGAATACTGTTTCCTTGCAGGTCACCAACATATCTTCCGACAGTAAAGTAGATCTTGGAACATCTCCAAAAAAGGTGGTCCAAGATGAGGCCTTTAGAAGGTGGTAGTGGACAGATAGGCTGGGGGACTTTCGGTGCGACCGGATTGCCAAGGTGGGGACCAAATCCCAGGTGAGCGGAGACGTCCAAGGTGGTAGATGTGTGATTAAAAGGAGGGGTAGCGTCGCCCTCTAGACTAATCAAACTTGAAATCTCTCTCCACACTGACAAGTCGTGGCCTCTATCTGGTTTTAGTCAGTTACTTGCCTTCACGGATTGAAGAAATACGCTTCAAGCGGTAGAACACTAACGTAAAATCAAAAATTTAACACAAAACAGATTTTGGCCTTATTTTTACCTAAATATGCATTTTAATTAAAACAGAAAATCCCGGTTAAGCAACTTCAAAAGCTTCTATTTACGGACTTTGCGGCTAGTCTGTTTGCCTCTGGTATGAAGAGTGAAACCGGTTATAGAGATACATCCCCATGGACATGGAGAGAAAAAATTTAATGCGCTCTCTGTTCTTAAGGCAAAACACGAAACAAAGTCCTGTTAAAGTACGTCTCTTCTTCTTTCATTCTTTTGTTCTCCCTCTCAAAGATGCGTACTTCACTTGGCAGTAATGGATGGGTGTGTACTCGGTGTAGCATGCATCTAGAAAAGTTTCCAGTGTGATCCTCTTTCAGTGCATTTCTAAAATAAAATTTTTAATTCACAACGTTCAAGTTGGAAAAGCTAACTGAGGGATGAGAAACTCCCCA